CGCTCTTCACTCCTTGCCCTCCATCTGCATTCCCCGCGTCAACACAATCACGTGACTGCAAACCACCTATTAGAATAATGTGACACTAAAGACTGCAGTAATGATGCTGAAAATTCAGTTTTGATCACATGACTAAATTACATAAATGATATTTGACTATATACTCACTTAGAAAACAGCTATTTAAATTGTAATAATATTTCACTACTGTTTTTATAATAATAGATTTCTTTCAACAGCATTAAAAAAAAATCACAATTATTCCAAACTTCTGATTGTTAGTGAGTGAGTGTGTGTACAGTATATATTTATATATGAAGAGTTCAGATGTAAAAGCCTCTAAGTGCCATTTGAAAATTTCACAAAGTAATTTCACTTAAATGGCAATGAAGATTACCTATTAATTGTCGTTTAAGTTAAATTACTGAACTTAAATATACAAGATTGATAAAAATTGTCATTTTAGAAGAAAATTTCAAATGGCATTTAGAGGCTCTTCATATAGATATGTGTGTGTGTATGTAATACATAAATATATTTCATAGTCTCCTGATCAATAAAATGACACACCCAAAAACACCCGTCTCATCCGGTCCACAACGCCGTCAGCTGCACCGGAAAAGACGATCTCTGCACCAGAAGAACTACATCATTAAAATCGCATTGAGGAGCCATTCATCCATTTAGACTGAAATCTCATGCCACTATCTAATCAGAGACCGCTGCGGTCAATACAGCAGAGACAAGACACTGGTCCTGTGCTCAGTGTGTCGGGCAACATCACTGTAGATTTCTGGACGCTAATGGTACGATTACACTGACCATAATAACATAATGCAGACCGAGGCCAGAGGTGGTCCAGTTTCAGTCCGAGACCAAACCAGATTTAGGGAAGCAAACGTTATATGAACAGTAATTAACAAGCTCCCATTTTCATTCATCCTAGATCAAGGTGCAGATAAAAAATGTTTTCTGTAAATGGACTAATGCTTTTTCCTGATCATACAGACAAAAAAAAAAAAAAAAACCCCGAAAGTAATTTCTAGAAAATATCAAAGAATTGAAATCTGACAGTAAGAAACCGCTTAGCATCACCCTAACCACCCCAAACACTTTACCCGGCAAACGTTATAATTATCTTCAGAATATATATGTATGAATCTAGTATTTAAAATACAATGGAAATAATAAAGAAATGGGAGGGATCATACCAAAGATGGTCGAAGGAAGATAGATGTATGGATGAATGGATATTCTCTGAGTGAACTTTAGTTGAACGCTATTAAAATCTTCAGCTAATTTTTTTCAAAGTAACTCACGATATGATTGGCTCAGGCTCATGCTGGTTTGAGCGATATGATCAGCTGAGTGTTTTTTGCAGTCCATAGAGCATAAATCCAGACAAACACTCGAGCTGATCCATTATACAGGTGAAGACGGCCGGTGTGCTTTGAGAGTGGTTTATGTAAATATATGCATCTGTGGTCAGAAGCTGATATTTATCACACTGCCAAATATCACATATTTATCACACTGCAGACACAACCTTCGAATAGACGAGGAAAACAGTAAGCAAAGCATAGAAAAGGGGCAAAAGTTGGAGATCAGTCCTCGGTGTGTCTCACAGGCCAGAGGCAATTTTCGGCTCTACTGAACCAATTCCACAACGACTAAAGTCCAAAAGGCTGACAAAACTTATTCATAACGCCAAACTCCTCCATTCTGTCATTCAACATAAGGCTTCAGCCGCCTCAAATTTGGACCAGAGATCAGAGAACTCCATTAGTAAGCAGCGGTGGGATGTGAATGCAGTATTGGAATAATTCTGAGTGGAAATGAGGGCAGTTTGTCATTATAAAACAAACAGCCGGTCGCTGAAGAGCCGAAAATACAAACGCTTAATGACTTGAATGCATTCCATTACAGCCGATTAGTCAAGCAGGTCCGAGCTTTTAGGACTCAGGACACCAAAAGCTGAACATCACACATGTGCCGAATAACACAAGCCCTGCAAACAACCCGAAGAGGAGAGCGTTTAAAAGGCCACAGGAAAGGATGTCTCGTAAAATACAGTAGATCTCTTCCGAAACGTGGGTTTCTATATTGAAAAAATCGCCAATTCACAAATATCATGTATAAATAAGTCATTAAAATTAAAAGATTGTAAACTTAGCAGTCAACTAAAATAAAAGTCAATTTAGAGTTGAGTACTTATAGAGTTATTAATATGATGCACACCATTGCTGCCTGTATACATCATCCCTAGACTGTAGTCTTAATTAAGATGCGTTAGAAGGCAGCTGACTGCATAGACAGCAAGGGAGCTCACTAGGCTTTGGACCAGAGCCATTATGTACACTGTGTAGAGTCCTGGAGTGCAGATGGCCTGTGGCGTGAAGTGATGTGTCGTGTTGCGGTTAGCATTGTTGCCGTGTGCCTCTTCTAAAAAACACAGATTGCTGGACATGGAGCGTTTTTATAGGGATTAGTTTGGCTTAGTGCCGTGGCTAACACTATGATTAGGGCTTTCTGGCACTGGAGATAAGTGAATTCTCTCTGGTTATTCAGAGGCTGTTTAGGGGGAAAGCAGCAAATAAGGCAGCGTTTTAATAGAGAAAAACAGAGTGAACTGTGGCTCTGTTAGACTGATAACCTCTTCCCTCTAATCACCATTACCGGACTCGTATCTATTCACATTCACAGAGAGAGAGAGAGAGAGAGACAGACAAGCATTAGGTTAATTTCCCCCCATGGCGCACATATGGGAACCGTTCCTTTGCTCTAATCCTGATTTTTAATACAAAGAGGAAAGGCACGACTGAGCCAGAAGCAGGAGATTAAACTGACAGTACCAATTTGTCATTTTTCTGATATTTTCAGACTCTAAAGGATCAAAAAGCTGTAAGGTTACACAGAACGAACTCTTGAATTCATACAACCTGTTGTGTGCAGTCATCCATGATGCACAGATGTCGGCTTCTTCTATTTTTAGGACCATTAAGATTTGTTTGCCCTCTGACACAATTTTCATTACAATTGAATAAGATGTCTCCTCACTTCACTGCAAAAAAGGGGGAAAAATTTATTAATTTAACAATATATTGTTAATACAAAAAAGTTGAGGATCATATACATCTGCATTTATAATACACCTGCTTTGTACTGTAATTTTTAAATAGATACAGTAAAATAACAGCAATGAGAATTATATTGGCTAGGCTATATATAAATAAATATCTTAATGGCCCCAAAACAGGCTAAATGTTCTTCTTAATGCGTAATATATTTTCTAGTTATTTTGGTTTAGGGCTGAAATTTAACCTGGACGTGTTTTCATGAGATCCAGTATTTTAAGTTATAAGTTATTCGACTCTGGTGATGTTCAGAACACAGAAACTTCAAGAAAAACGAAACACTTAATCCTCAAACAACAAATTGTAAATTCGAGAAATGGTTGTTGACAGCCAGAAAGACTAAAGCAGGCCTGAAGTAAACGCACTCACACTCAGTGTAATTGAATGCTGGAGATGGATCAGACAAGCGTGCTTGTTGACTTTAAAGCAGAGGTTGAAAGCCACGAATGCTTTCAAGTTCGAGCAGTGCTTAAAATTTCACTTTCACTTAATTTCATCCGTTTCATTATTCACATTAGTTGAAATCCCATCCCTCACATTTTAATTGACGAGATGAATTGGCACTCTAACAATATATTTCGATGTTTTACGAGTGTGTGATCATCGAAACTGCCCAAAAATAATTGGTTCCATGTTCAATTACACTAAGCCACCGAATATTAAATCACATTAAACCACACGGTCCAATTACTCCTCTGTTTCCATGGATACCAACCATATTTCTTTGAAATATGACTTGAATATTGTTTATTCAAATTGTGATGTGCGAAATACACAGTTGGGAAGTATTAAAAAACACACTTACTGTAATTATTATTACCGCTGTGGAACGGGAGAGTAACGTCTTCAACTTGTTCAGGGAAACACTCCCCTCAGGTGAACGTTTTGTCTTCAAAAACATGCTGAACTTCACCACATTCTGTTAATGCGACTGCTTCTCAAATTATACTGGTGGTTATTCTGTTATTTTACATTTTATAAATCAGCATTATTACTTTATAAACTTTATAAAATTGTGAGGTAAACTCTGGCTGCTGAGCGGCGCTGTTTCTCCTTGCAGGCGCGCATCAGTTTTTTGAATTTCAGCGCGAAACTGTGATGACGTGTTTTAACAGTCATCAGCATTGTAAATCATGAAAAGTTTTATATATTTTTATTTTATTTATGTTGTCTGTACATTTATAACACTACACTTTGTATTATACTACCTTTAGATTAAATGTAAAAAAAAATATTTAACGCTGCTGTGAGGGTGTATCAGCAAATGAGTGAGTGACGGTCAAATATACATATTTCTCTCTTTCCTGACTGCCGTTCTCAATCTCCCACAATTTGTTTAACTCTTTTTGAAAATTGTAGTAGTGGTGTTTTTCTTTTGCTTTATGACAAAATGGGAACACAAAAATATATATATTTCTCATTCTTCGTATGACGACTTCTGAGAAACCCGCATAGAAATAGAGAAATAAAACTAGTACAGAAACATTATTTCAGTACTTAAGATTCATTTGAATAAATCAAATATTAATTAAAATGGAAAAGACTATAAAAATTACATATCAGCATATAATTAACAGTGAACAATTACCAGGCTTCTTATTTTTGTCTTCGTTTCCTTGACATGTATGAATCATGCAATCATTCAGAATCATTTAAATATAACATTTGAAATAATAACATTTTTATATCTTTTGATAACATCACTTTACCATTGGACACTCTCACGGTACTGTTTAATTTATGTAGGCCTAAATTACATAAAGTGCATTGTTTGCCTTTCTCAATTTGGAGTATCTTACAATGACGTAAAGAGACTCAGATCCACATAATTTGCAACATACTAAATGTCCTTTTTCTCCCATGTAGGTGTCGGGAGTTGTCATACGTATAGTAAACTGTACCTGAGGACCATGGATACAATAAACTTCACCTTCTGGAACGCCTCTGAGGGCAACGAGACTGTGGAGACAGTGGACGAGAGCCCGTATAAGACAGTGGAGGTGGTGTTCATTGTACTGGTGGCCGGCTCACTAAGCCTAGTGACCGTTATCGGGAACATCCTGGTCATGCTTTCCATCAAGGTAAACAGAAGCTTGCAGACTGTCAACAATTACTTCTTGTTTAGCCTGGCCTGTGCTGACCTAATCATTGGCCTTTGCTCTATGAACTTGTACACAGTCTACATTGTGATCGGATACTGGCCGCTCGGCCCGGTCGTGTGCGACTTGTGGTTGGCGCTGGACTACGTGGTTAGCAATGCCTCGGTCATGAACCTGCTGATTATTAGCTTCGATCGCTACTTTTGTGTCACCAAGCCGCTCAGTTATCCAGTCAAGAGGACGACCAAAATGGCCGGGATGATGATTGCGGCGGCATGGGTTTTGTCCTTCATTCTCTGGGCTCCGGCAATCCTATTCTGGCAGTTTATTGTTGGCGGTCGCACAGTGCCAGAGAAGGAGTGCTATATTCAGTTCTTCTCCAACGCCGCGGTCACTTTCGGCACAGCTATAGCTGCTTTCTACCTGCCTGTGATCATCATGATGGTGCTGTACTGGCAGATTTCCCGCGCTAGCAAGAGCCGCGTCAAGAAGGACAACCGCAAGCCGTCGGGGGCCAACCTCGACGTGGCCTCTTCCAATCAGATCCGTGAAAACACAACCAACAAACCCACCAACAACAACCTAACAGCTGAAGAAACAGATCGAGGACAGACCCAGCTAACAGATGATGCCGCCATCCACCAACATGACGCCAAACTCCAGAATGGCAAAGCGCCATCAACGGCGAGTGGAGAAGCGGAAGATGGCGGACGAGGAAACGAGGAGAAAGAAAGCTCAAATGACTCCACCTCTGGAAGTGGCGCCGTAAACAATCAAAAAGAGGAGGCGGTGGCACCATCAATAGCCGATGAAAACCAAGCTCCGGCTAGGCATCGCGCCAAAGCTGGCGGATCCAAACTGACCTGCATCAAGATCAACACCAAATCGCCAAAAGGAGACTGCTACGCTCCGTCGAACGCGACTGTGGAGATCGTTCCTGCGACCGAAAGGCAGAATCATGTGGCGAGGAAAATCGTGAAAATGACCAAGCAGCCGCCAAAGAAGAAAAAGGCCCCGTCTTCTCGGGAAAAGAAGGTCACGCGCACCATTATGGCCATCTTGGTGGCGTTTGTCGCAACTTGGACGCCTTACAACGTCATGGTCCTGATCAACACCTTCTGCTCCAGCTGCATTCCCAACACCGTGTGGACCATCGGATACTGGCTCTGCTACATCAACAGCACGATCAACCCCGCCTGCTACGCCCTCTGCAACATCACCTTCAAAAAGACCTTCAAACACCTCCTGCTCTGCCAGTACAAGAACATACGCTCCACCCGATGAGCAGAAACATGTGTGTGCGCATGCCTTATATTATACATGTGCGTCTTCTGGTGACAAAGGTAAATGTGTGGATGTGTTTGTATGTGTGAAGGGGTCGTAAGGAAGTAAAACCAGTTCAAATAGTCAGAAATTAGGGTGAATTTAGGGTAATTGGGACATTTTTTCCCATTGAAATGCTTGGGAAAAGTGTCCAAATCAACCTGAATGCAAACAGAGACACATCAACACTCGCCATACACAGTTTTATAAATCCTCCATCTTTGTAGATTACATTTTAATTTTTTATTTTTTTGCTTTCAGCTACAAATCAGACTGCATTTAACACATTTTACAATGTTTAAATCCGACTCGCAGTCAGAAAATGCAGTCCTCAGACTGTGTCTACAAGTGTGTTTGCGTTCATTGTTTTTATATATATATATAGATGGTCTGGTGTAGCACTTTACACACATAGATGTGATGCATGTTACAAAAGGAGGTAAAGAAGTGCTAAAATATTTGATTTATAAACAAAAATGTAAAAAAAAAACGAGCATATGGTCAGATTGGAGTCTGTCCTATTCAATAATACACAAATAAGGGGACAACAGGGCTGACTGATGATCCAAACCAAACGCGTTTGAGCTTCAGTTTTAAAATCACACCTGTACATACGTGTATATAATCATGTACTGTATCCGTGTCGTGTGTGTGTGTGGTTGCATGCTGGATGACGTGTGCGCTCAACATTAAAATCCACTTAAATTAGTCTACATGAAGCCTGTTTACTTGTGTAATCAACTTGATTTAACGTAGGGTGCTATAATTTCATCCAGATCACTAACCCTCATCTTTCCCTCAGAGTCAAAATCACCCAAAGCCCCAATTGATTGTCGAGAAAGCTGATTTTATTTCATTTTGATAATATTTTTTTTAAAAGCAATTTTTTTTATTTACCTTTAAATTACTAGATTTGATCAATTAATAATATATAAATAGAAATTTAAGCACATTCTTTCAGCTTAAATTCAAAATAACTCATGCATTATCCTTTTAATTCAGCTCAAAATATCTTACATTGGGTGTCTTTGCCGAACTCTTGTGGAAAAATAGTAATATAACATGATATTTCATGACTCTTGCCATGGCTTTTTAGCTTTTTTGAGTAAATGAGCTGTTCCACTGGGTCCTAAAGTCAGTTCTTCAGTTTGCATTCAGATACACATCATTTATTGGTAAAGTTTTTGCATTTTTAGGTTTTTCTATGTGTTTTTCACATAGTAAGGGGGTCAAATAAAAACTGAATTTAAATTTCAACCACAAAACTCCTTGAATCCATTCAATTGTGTGTGTGTGTGTATTCGTGGTTCAAGTGCAACAAAAGTCCTAGGGTCTTGACTCTGATGAACACTCAGTTTTAAAAAATGTTATTGACTTTCGGGTCAAAATGACCCGGGGGAAGGATGAATGTAAAAGAAACAGATTAAAGACGATGTGCATCAATAAATAAGGCCAGAAACGTGTTAAGGAACCTACAGGCTCATGTTGACTTTAAAGCTTCGATTGTGTCTATGACAGGTAGCATGGTTGCAGTGTGTGTGTGTGTGTGTGTGTTTGTCATGTGCTGTGTGAGAGGGTTGAAGAGGCTCTCTGCTGTGCCCGTATGTTAAAGTGGATGAGTTTTGAGTGCTCGGGGTTTCCAGGGATGCAAATCTAACCCTTTTAAAGAGAGCAGACGCGCAGGATAAAGAGGCTCTCAGACATTAGCATCCACCTCACCTCTGCTTTGCATTTACACAAAACAGTTCACTCACGCATGGGCGAAAAAAGGAAATTACCAGCTACGTGCAGACTGAAGAGAGCGCTAATTCATCAGATACTCCAAAACCTGCTCGCAGAACTTATTAAGAGGCCAAAACGCTTGCGTTCTGCCTCAGTGTAAATGACATTCAGCACGTCTGAGTCTGACACGCTTGTTTTCGTTCCTAAAGACCTGATTTGCTTTCTGGGTTCATGATGCGCCTGCAGGCGAAGTGTGTGTGTGCGTGTGTTCGTGTGTGTTTGATCACCCCGGGAAGGGGTTTATTAAAACTCACAGGTTTTTTCCTTGTGAATTTAAAGGGCTAAAGAAGTGCATAAACTTCCTCATCTCATTACGAGACGTCAAGTCACCATTACTTTTTTTGCACTCATTAAAACAGATTAACAACAGAATCCTCGCTCAAAGCAGAGGATCATGGGAAATGTCAGTCAATCGATCGCTCATAAGCTAGACAGTGATGCATGCTGGGGAAATCGAGCTCAAGCTACATTTTGCATTTGTGTTATTTTAGTTTTTTTTGTGAGTTATTTCAGGTTTTTAATAGTTTTAGTCAAAGGTAATGCATCAGTATCAGCAATAACTCTTAGTATCATAATCATAGTAAAGTAACATGAATCTTATTCTTTCCTCTGGGATTTATGGTTGTCAATCTGGTATGTTGGAAACGTGCTGTTTTTGTCACAGAGCTGTCCTTGGGCTATTTATACAGCGATATATATATATAATTATCTTATTCAAGCATAGACATATTCATTCTCATCCCATCTGTTATGTCCATCCCTCAAAACATATTTAAATTCTGTTACTAAATAATGCACACTGACTTTTAGCACAATCTCTCCTTCTTCAATCTTTCATATTCCCTTGCCTTATGCTCAATACATACAATTCTACACATACATAAACATAACCTGTATGTTGTTGCTCTTCGGCAGATTATAATGTCAGTGGTTATTGTAGGATGAGCGACAGGGTGTCAAATATTTATAACTAAAACTTTTAATAATATTAAAGCTACAATGTGTAACTCTTTTAGTTTATTCTTAGCTAAAAACACTTAGTTCTTTCAAAAATGTATATGCTTATTAATGTATATTTACTTCATTCAAGTAATAAAGTATTCTCGTGAGTGTAAAAATACATACGGGTAAGGGGCTCTAATGTCGAGCGCCATGTTGCCTCTTCATCTTGAAAGTACATTAGCCAAAGAGGGACATACCCGTTAATTCAAGCTTCGCCTTTCGCGTTTACCTTTGAGTTAACACTGATGGACGAGGTCGAACTGGAAGCCATGTTAATCTTGGACTACATTGGCCACCGTAGGAGTTAAAACGAAATTGAGAGGAACAGAAACTAATATTAACTGGATGCTCGTATATCTTTTCACCGCTAGATGGGGGTAAAAATCACACAGTTGTTCCCGATGGACAAAATCGGTTGCAGCTTTAATTTCATCCCAACTTTAGACAAAAAATAAGTAAGGATAACGATCTGATTGGTTGGATTGTTAGTTTAGTAAAATGAGAATATGAAAAGAACATCATGAAGACCAGTACAGTACTGAAATCAACAAAATAATTCACCAAATAATATGTGCTATAACTATAGTGAAGAACAGACACTCTAGTACTTTAGTGCCCCTGATGATTATAGTGTGTGTGTGTGTGAGAGAGAGAGAAAGAGAGAGAGAGAGAGAGAGAGAGAGAGAGAGAGAGAGAGAGAGAGAGAGAGAGAGAGAAAGAGAGTTTGAATGTGTGTGTGTGTGGATCCTAAACATGACACAGCAGGTCACCCGCGAGGTCACAGTGTGTGACGTCCGTGTGTGTGTTTGTTTCGTGTGAGACTCGTTGTGCTTCTGTGGATCTTATCACACACACTCAGCTTATCGTCACTGAAGGACAGATGGAGTGTGTGAGACCAGCGGCGCCGCATTAAAGCACAACGCTCACCCTGACACCTGCGATATCTGTCCTGCTCACGACTAGTAACACGAGTCTCTCACGACCTCTGACCTCCAGAACACACACACACACGTCTGGTTTACTATATTTGTAGGAACTCTCAATAGAAATTGTGTTTTTTATACTTTAAAATCATATATACAACACACACACACACACACTAACCCTAAACCCATCACAAACACACTCCCTCCCCTACCCTAGATTTTTGCATGTTCTCGCTACCCATAAAACAAAACCTTCTGCTTTATTACTTTAAAATAAAAAAAAAAAAAAAAAATAAAAACCTAATTCTGTATCCTCATGGGAACCTGATTTTAAGTCCCACAGTGACACGAGTCCCCATGAGTCTGTGCATTCAGGTTGAAAATCCAAGCATGCACACACACACACACACACACACACACACACACATGTATCTAGCTCTGTAAATCAGGGGGTTCGGAGACTACTCTCTTCAGCCCGTGTTTACTCCATGTTAACCAGTCAAGCAAACAAACATAGGGTGACCATATTTTGATTACCAAAAACCAGGACACTCGGCCCAGCAAACACACGGGCCTACTCAAATGATACTCGAAGTTTACGCAAAGATACCTTATTAATTTCAATACATTTAAAGTAGGTTATGCCTCCTCTGTATGGATAGAAAATTGTTATATGGTTATATGGAAACAGGACATGTCCTGGGAAAACCCTATGTAACAAACATGCTTTTTAACAAGTAATCCATTTATGGAGACACTTGAGTGCATGAACACTGCTATTTGTAGGTTACATACAACAAATATACTTACTTTGTTCATTTTCAATGGCTTATATCCATTTGATTTATTTAAATAAGTATTTTAGGAAGTTCTACCTGGTTCTATTGAAGGTCCCGCCCTCTTATTTCAGATGGCCAATCAGAGTTCAGATTTTGGAGTGACACATGGACCAGCCAATCTTGTAAATATAAAAATGATCATTTTTAAAAATGTCATTTTCTACATGTGTGTTGCGAGTTTCTGGACCATCTTCATCCTTCCACTCATCATCATCATCATCATCATCACGTGCAGCACAGTAACAACAAAGGGCTTCGATGTATTTTCTAATCTGTTGATGTGTGTGAACTGTAATCTCTATTATAGTGTTCTTTTGTTTTCTCTATATTCTTTTTATAAACATCCATAACTTAAAAGTGTGTGTGAGAGAGTGAGTGAGTGTGTGTGAGAGATCTGCAGGCCTTTGACTATCCGAGAGAGGATTTGTGAACGCTGGTAGGTCACATGACAGTGACAACAATGTCTAGATTACAGTCATACTATATGGAACACACTTTTTTTGCAATCTCAAGGTAATTATTATATAAATTGTTATTATAATTACTCATTCTAATGAGAGTATGTGATGTGGGGCGCTACCCAAGTGTGTGTGTGTGTCATAACAGGCGTCCCTGGAGCCCCTCGAGCCTCCTATATCTGTGTGTTTGTATTGTGATGTTGTATAAAAATGCACTGTGTGTTTGTGTGTGTGGTTTTTAAATCATTGGGACAGTCAGTGTGTGTGTGTGTGTGTGTGTGTGTAAGAGAGAGACTCAAATCTAGCGTGTGACATGATGCGCACACAGGCCGTTTGACAACAGAACGGCTGCCAAAGACATGATAATCAAGATAAACAACAACACACAGACTTTATCCAATCACAGATGCTTTCTTATAATGTTTTTTTTAATTGATATGTCAAATGATTCTGCATATTAGAGTACAGTATGAGGAAGGATTCAGCACAGAAGAATCAAGCCATACATGATGGATATGAACTGACAGACGAGACTTTAGCAGGATGACTTTATGGGAGTTGTTGGTGCGATATCAACTAAAGCACACGCTAAAATTATTATTATTATTTTTTTGGCGAGTTTGAAAGAGATTTAAGAACTGAGACTGCAAACATACTTCACACAAGTGCGCGAATGCTCTGCTAACAATGTGGCGTAACAAACTCCAGTCCTCAAGGGGGCGATAGAGTGTGTGTGCCGTTCACATTTAAAGTCGTTATAAAATCAAAATTGACTCTATTTACTTTGTTAGCGCACATTAAGGCCCTTGCACACCGAGTCTGAAATTTATGTCCGAAATTTCCGCACGATAAAAAAAAAATACGACCTCACGTTATGTCAATCACACTTGCACACTGCATCCGAAACTTTCATCCCTCATAATCGGGTTTGATTATGATTGCATCCGTAGCAAGCAGTTTGTTTAGAGATTGACAATTCAGAGCCACCAAATCACGAATACGAAAAAACGCACACGAAATTTCAGACTCAGTGTGCAATGGCCTTCAGTCTCGTGGTGAACAATTAATCAATTAATCTTTATAGAAACATTTTCTGGGATTCAAACCCATAAACTTTCTGTGTTGCTGCTGTTCAAACACATGCATCCTAAAGTGTTATTATTAATAGTAGATAGATGATCTGAAAGACATAATTCTGACTCATTTCACAAAGGAAACACCCACATCTATTTATTAAAAAATCCAGAGAAATAAAATGCATCACAGTTTCCAGTCATAATAATCATAAATGTTTCTTGAGCATCAGATCATCATATTAGAGTGATTTCTGAAGGATCATGTGACACTGAAGACATGAATAAATTACAGTTTAAAATACATTCGCATTGAAAACAGCTGTTTAAATTGTAATAATATTTCACTATTTTTGGTCAAATAATTGCAGCCTTGGTGAGCATACGGTGGCCGAGAGAGCTCACCACGCTACAAGCTAAAGAAGACACATGGGAATAAAAAACAAAAACGTATGCAAACAAACGCGCTGCAAAAGCTCACAGCACACAGCACAACCAAATAAAGAATCATAAGGAATACTACTCAATTAATCTTCTTCTTCTGTTAGCTAAATTTAGTATTCATAAATGTAAATTTGGAGGAAACAAGCCTTTGTTTTTAATTTTAAGAGCAGAAATTCAGCAATACCTAAAAACAATACTGGGTTTGAAAAATAAGAAAGCTGCAAAATGTGTATCTAGTATATGTATTGTAAACATTTTCACATTTTTGTTTAACTTAAGTTTGTCACTGCTTTTATTTGTCTTTTCAAGTCTGTTTGTTCAATGTACCCCTGACTGAAATTGTAATTCTTGAAATTCAATTTAAAAAACAAAACAAAACAACCAAATAAAGAAACGCGCTGCAAGTACACGGTCCACAACGGAAATGTTTCCGGGGAACCAAAATAAGTGACGGACCCGGCTAGGACGTGCTCAGACACAGGACGTGCTTACAGCAAAACACGTTAAACCTACACTGTGTAGTTTATTCTTAACGAAAAACACTTAGTTCTTTCAAAAATATATGTGCTCATTAATTTATATTTACTTCGTTCAAATAATAAAGTATTCTCGTGAATGTATAATATGCCTTTGAAAATACATACGGGTAAGGGGCTCTAATGTCGATCGCCATGTTGCCCCTCCATCTTGAAAGTACATTAGCCAAAGAGGGACATACCCGTTAATTCAAGCTTCGCCTTTCGCGTTCACCTTTGAGTTAACACTCATGGATGAGGTCGAACTGGAAGCCATGTTAATCTTGGACTACATTGGCCACCGTAGGAGTTAAAACGAAATCGGAATTGAGAGGAACAGAAACTAATATTCACGGGATGGTCGTATATCTTTTCACCGCTAGATGGGGGTAAAATCACTACATTAATGAGCACATATATTTTTGAAAGAACTAATGGTTTTTAGCTAAGAGAATAAACTAAAAGAGTTACACATTGTAGCTTTAACTGACAAGAAGTGAAAGACTATATTTTTTATAAATAAACTATACTATTAAAATAATAATAATATATATAAATAATATTTATATTATCATTTTAACAAAAACACGCCAGTGGCGTGTAGTTCGTGATAAAGCTTTTGCTGCGCTTGGACCCGAGTTCGAATCCGCCTTTTGCCATTATTGGCCAAACTTGATTAATTCAGGTGTGTCTGATTATTGTTGCCATGAATGACTACTGAGGTCAGGCACAACTGGATTAATCAATTTGTCCAATAATGGCAGACAGGAAACAAGGAGCTGGCTTAAGTTCAGGAAGTAGTGCAGCTGTGCATAAAGCCAATTGCGTGAGAGTTGGCACTGCAGCCCCACTTGTGTCAAGTATGTTTTGTGTTCAATAAAGGAGAGCAATGTCGAGACGTGTTTTAACGTGAAATAAACGCAAAACTCGCGGCCCTTTGTACTGCTGATGGTCCATCTGTGTGTGTGTGTGTGTGTGTATGTGACGATATTTGTACAGATGACGGTGTAAATACTCTGTATAGCTTCTTTTCATTGAGTCACGTGCTTCTTTTGACTGTGAGTTGTGGCTTCTTCCATCAGTCGTGTGACGTGTGGTTTATCAGCTTAACGTTTGTAATATACTCGATCTATATGTGTAGCACAGATGACGTGTAAATACATGTTTATTAATGAATATGAATGTTATTGATCTTTATTAGGGCAATGAAGGGATTACTGATCATTGATGACTGATGAAACATGTATTTATAAGATTTGCTGTATCGTGCGATATCCTTTTGGAAAAGAGTTCTAGCAAATAAAGCTGTTATGATGAATAATAACTCCTGTTCTGCTTATTTCAGCATTTACACACCGAATAAATGACACCGGAAACATATAATTAATGTATTTATTGACTGTAAAGAGTTTGAAAGCATTAGTTTCTTCTCAGCTGCCCGGAGTTTAGAATCTTCATGGAGTTCCAAACAGGAAGTAGAATTCTAATGTGACAGTTCCAGTTTCTAATGATGCATTAGTATCAATTTACATATGTTCTCCTTCATACCACTTATTGGATATTTCAGAAACTTAAGATGATCAATGTTTAAAATGCCACATACAAAGAAAATAATAATGTATTTATTAACTTTTATAGACTTCATTTCCCAGAATGCACTAATTTATATTGTGGGTCAACATTAGAAGATTTTAGTAGACTCATTTCCCTTCTTTTAATCACTGATGTGTTATTCTGTGAGCTATAATGATCTAGATCTAGTGTTAGAGGTCATCATCTGAGGAGCTTCTTTAGTCCGCCGGGTTTCGCTCCTTCTTCTTTCCGTCTCGTTTTGGTTTCTGTGAATCTGTGGAGAGAAGAACAACCATCAGAGTTAAACACACATGAATCTCATGAAAACACAGCTTCAGCCAAAAGAAAACCAAGAGGGGAAAAAAATGCATTTTTTAAGTACCATTGACAGAGTTTGTTTTTATTAATTATTTATTTTAGTTAATATTTTTATATTTCATGTTTTCATTTTAGTTAGTTTTGTTTTTGTAATTTTTATAGTCCAAGTTTTAATGTCTATATTGTTTTGAATCATTTTAGTTATTTTAGTAGGCTACATCAAATTAAACTGAATGAAAAATGAGAACAGAAAATAAGTTGACTTTTGTTTTTAATGATTTTAGTTATAGCTAAATATCCCTGGTTTAAGAAAACAAAGCCGGTTTTATGCACTCTGACACAACCTAAGCCCATAGTCTCTTTGCTGTTACGGATAATGTGTCTGAAAAGGCTGCATGTTTTAAAATTCTCATTATGATTCTCATAAAGTATCTTATTTTTATTTTATATTGCAGTATTTTGTTTTGTGCAAGATAAAAAATGACCATATTTTTTCATTTAAATGAAAATGCAAGTGTGATGTGTAAATATTTGATCCATTACAGTCACTTCTTTGGATGATAATGAGAATTTGGAGATAATTTGACAAACACTCACACTAGAAATCCAGACAGAAAATCACTTTTTAGTTTTTATTGTAGTTTTAGTCATTTTTTTTTTGAATGAGCTTGTAGTCTTCATGTTCATTTTGGTTACATGTTTAGTCAATTTATGCCATTTATTATTTTTTTTAATTTAATTTCAGTTTTAGTTATTTATTTCCAGCTAATACTTCAAGCTAATTAATTTGAATGTTTTTCTACTAATATTTAGCTTTATTTAAATGAACAGAAATGTTTTGATAGATTTAGTTAACAACAATCACCCTTGCCTGAATTATTCTATTGTTATATTAGGATATTTATAAATGTTCCCCTGCATAAATCTCATCTCAGATATGAAATGAACCTTGACTTAGTTTAATTAACATTCTTCTGGATTTAGAGAGAGAGAGACCTGTTGATGAAAGTTTCTGAAGTGTAAAAGTTGGTCTTGTCATCAACACCTGCGGTCTGCGCTCGTGTCTGAACTCGCCACACATCCATCGCATTCACACACAATAATCAGAAATCTTCATTAAACTGAGTGATGATGAAGATTACATGTCAATAACTCCAACCAAGCGCTCATAGTATTAGTATCTCATTTACATAAAGATTAAACCCATTCAAATCAAACACAAATCAGAAGAACAACATCTAATGATTAAGAAAGAGACAAATCACAAATGTATTGTTCCTTCAAGTCGGCAGATCTTCTTCTCATGAACTCGGTCATTTCTCATCAAACGTGCGCTTTACGAGATTGGCTGTATCGTGTGATATCCTTTTGGAGAACAGTTCTAGCAAATAAAGCTGTTATGATTGACTGTAAAGAGTTTCCCGGAATTTAGAATCTTCAACGGTCATTTTTTGAATTTGAATGGAGTTCCAAACAGGAAGTAGAATTCTAATGTGACAGTTCCAGTTCCTAATGATACATTATTTCACTTCTTAGTATGAATACACATGTATGTTCTTCTTCACACACTATATCTATATAAATATAGAGTTGATACTCAACCCTTGTGCATTGTTCAAAACCAATGTTGACTGTGATAAAAGGTAAAAAAAAAATCCAGTCCACAATCATATTTTATATTGAAAATAAGTCATTTTGTGTATTTTTCCCCCCAAATCAGTGACATCATTTATGAATTTGGCCATTAAAGAGTTAAAATCCTGAGTTTTTTAAAAACATTTAGTAGTTTTGATCAGGACTGGGGTCGGTTAATAGATTTATGCAAAAAAATTTGAAAAAAAAATATTTCTCTGATACATTTTTACAGCAGTTTAAAGTAGTGGCTTTTTTTCGTTCACATAACGAAAGGGTATGTTGAGTTTTTGAAAAATTTCAAAGCGTTTTCCCAAAATATGTGTCAAAATAAGATTTGTCACCAAAAATCATTCCATTTGCTGAAACAAGGAAAAGGTTATGGCCAAATTAAGACTAAAAAATACCTCATAGTGGCTGAAAAAAGCCGCAACAGCACATAAGGGTTAAACGAAACACAATTGAGCGTCTCGTCAGTTTTAGAAGAGTAACATCTGATTAGTCCAGTTGTGATCCAGAATGATGGAGGAACGGCCCAGTCATCCGTGCTGTTTGTTTTGAGCTGTTTTCAGGGCAGATTGAGTGTGTATTCACACACACACATACACACACACACACACATCAGCATCTGCGTCTCATGAGCTGGACGGACCCCAGCGGTTCAGGCTGTTATTGGACAATCAGCCTTTAGTCGAGCCAAACCATGTGACCTGAGATCCGACACACTGTCTGAGAAAACCCTCATGAATATCAGCGCATTTCATATCTAATCATTCATAATCCAGACACACCAGATTAGAGTCAAAAACCAGTTGAGATTAAAACAATAAACTTCATTCAAAGGGAAAATTAATGTTCTGTTCCTGATGGTTTTTGATATTGTTTGAGTCACTCGATCTCTTCAGTGACGTCTGGATTAGGAATGTTTATGTGTGTGTGTGAGACAGAAACCCTGAGGAAGAGCATCATGTTTGCAGCCGTACAGTGTGTGTGTGTGTGTGTGTGTGTTTACCTGTTTACGTCCTCCGCTCATCCATCTATGACAGCGGCACCCTCTCCCAAACCCCCACAATCCTCTCTGCTGACGCTCTTATCACCTCAAACAGACCCAGGCGACAACGCCTCTCTCAGCCCGTGTGTGTGTGTGTGTGTGTTTATGGTCTATCTGCAGGGAATTTCGAGGGAGTTTCTAATCACCTCTGTTCTCTGTTTATTGGCACACTGAAAAGGGCACAAATACACATTACCTGCAGATATTATACTAACACACACACACACACACTCCGTCAGCGACTCCAATGGGTCAGTTGTTGTTGACACACATTAAGAGTCCAGAGGTACTGACGGAGAAATGTTTGAGCTCACAGAGACGTAGTCTGTGATCCCGAGACTATAACTGGTGTTTCCCGGGTCAGTTCTCACACACACACACACACACACACACACACTGATCTGGAGGAGACAGATAGTCAGACACTGTGGAGACTGTAACTGGTCAGGTCTTCATCTCTCACACACTCACACACACACACACTGATCTGGAGGAGACAGATAGTGTGGAGATGTGTCTTCAAGTGGTGTAACTAACTGGTCAGACACACACACACACACACACACTGATCTCCTCCTGATGTGTGATGATGGATTCGCCTCTTTAAACTCTTTCAGAAACACTCGAGCTCAAGTCCAAATCCTGATCAATTAGACGAGCGCACAAGACCATCACATCCATTACAGACTCAATCCCTCTCTCTCTCTCTCTCTCTCTCTCTCTCCCTCTCTCCCTCTCTCTCTCCCTCTCAATTCAATTCAATTGAGCTTTATTGGCATGACTGTGTAAAATAGCACAATATTGCCAAAGCGATAGTAATATACAAACATAAATGTAGATAAATACAAGTGCAAAAAAAATAAAATAAACAACAATAAAAAAACATTTCCATATTATGAATTGAATTGAATATGAATTAAAAAAAAAGATATATACATATATCTCTCTCTCTCTCTGTAATGGAGATCTTGACGATGGTTCTGCCAATAATAATGAGAATAGAGTGTATTTCATCCAGACACAATCACATGACAACATTAACCTCTTCTTTATCAGTTAGATAAACACACACGTGACGTTACTAAAGACGCTACGGAAGCCCTGAACCGCAACCTAAAAAAAAAAAAAAAAATCTGTAAAAAAAAAAAAAATCTGTAAAAAAAAAAAAAATCTAGCTTTTCGAGATTAGATCGAGATTTTCGAGTCGAACTGCAATGGATAAACACAAAATAGTAGCTTTTTACTTTTATCTGGGCTTTCAACAAAATCTACACACGTCACACGTGCTAGTGGCAGTGTTTCTGAGGTGTTTTCGTGCTCGTCTAGTCAACACTATCTGGGTCGAGAACACAACAGTAACTGTTCGGTCTCCCTCTTCACCGTAAATACGCTCTGGATACATTTTAAGTGCATCATTCTGTATCCAATCATTTGGCCGGATCCTGTGATTTCCTAAGATTTAATAACCACTTGAGGAGAGATTCTCTGATATGATTGTAAAGCACTTTGAGTGTATATAGGCATATATGAAAGCGCTATATAAATGCCCTATTCATTCATTCATTCATAAAGCTGGATTTCTCCATCCAGTCTGAAAAGTGTTTTCCGTGTTGGTTTTCCTATAGGCTAAAGTCTATTCCGGCGCATTATATTTTATAACGATAAAGTTAGATAAGTAATTCAGATAAAAGTAAAAAGCTACTATTTTGTGTTTATCCATTGCAGTTCGACTTCACACACACACGCGCGCACGCTCTGAGCCAGTGGACGCGCACTGTTATGAATGCACAATGTTTCGACTTTAATCTCGAAACATTTCGACTTTAATCTCGAAACATTCCGACTTTAATCTCGAAACATTTCGACTTTAATCTCGAAACATTTCGACTTTAATCTCGAAATGCTAGATTTTTTTTTTTTTTTTCAGATTTTTTTTTTTTGTTTACAGATTTTTTTTTTTTTTACCACTTTTTTTTTTTTTAGGTTGCGGTTCAGGGCTTCCGTAGTTTTCTTTTGCAGCGTAAAATGAATAATCTTAAAAAAACTATGAATTAAAACATGAAAACTTTCAGACTGAAAAATGATGCATGTGGAATATGAAGACGAATGTGTTTTGATGAGGCTGAACGCTTGCCAACATTTCTATTTGCATTTATTAATTTAGCAAATGCTTTTATCCAAAGCGACTTACAACTGAGTAATATTACAGCACCAGGATTCATCAGCGGGAGACACTGCCACACACACACACACACTCTATCTCTCAATCTCTTTATTGCTAAAAATATTATGAGCCATGTGGAGACATTTCCCCACAACGTAGGAAATATCAGTCTAATCGCACACACACACACACACATGAAAAACAAGCACACACTCACATGCTCTCTCTCTCTCACACACACACACACACACGTCCGTGGCCTTAAACACTGATGCACAGTCAAACCATCAGATTTCTGAAAGTTTAATAGATTCATCTTCTGGACTGGAGCTCAAAAGAGGAAGAGCTTTACTGATCAATATTTCAGTGTCACCTTTAAAACACACTTCTCTATGCTACACACTATATTCACACAATGGGGTGACCACAATGTGTTTGTCACATGACCTCATATTGCTGCATGTTTGATTCAAAGTTGCGTCCAGAAATAAAAGTGCCATCAGATTATGGATAAATATGAAACATTTTGGATTTTTAATCATTAAATAAATAAATAAATAAAATAAACAAACACTTAAATATTGGATTTATTACAAACTTTTCAGTCAGAAATCTCAATTTCAGCAGCTTTACATACATTTTATCATCTATTATTTATGGTCTATATTCACCTGATTTATATCAAAGCTTTGAATTTAATACTTTTCATGTTTAATTTAATTCTTAGTCATTTATTTAAGTGCTTTTGTCTTTTTATTATTAATATGCATTTTTAATATTGCTATTTAGTTTTATTTTATCTCAGCTCTAGTTTATTTTTATTTCCAGATAATAAGACATATTTCAGTATATTGCCAAGGCTACATCATAAGCGTTATATTTTTCAACTAATATTTATATTTTAATTTGTTTTGAATGTTTTGATTAGTTTTAGCAGCTTGATTTATGTAACATTTTATTCCTAAAAACAGGAGATTTATGGAGTGATAAAAAGAAAAATCCCAAATCTGACTTTTATCTAATGACTTCATCTATTGTTCTAATTCTCCAATATCTGTACTGGAAATGTATGCAAATTAATGCATATTTAATTAGACACTGCCTCATTTGCATACATAAGCATAACATTGCAAAAACTCATAATACAAAACAAATTGTCAAACTGTGTAGGGTGATTAATTCAGTAGAGGAGTATAGTGAACATTTTTACCCTTTCCCCTGTGATGCTTCTTAATGCTAATTATTTTTTTTTTTTTTGCAGTCCAAATCAAATCAGTTGATATTGCTTCTGGTTTATTTAAGTTGAGCACATTGTGTAGCATATCTTTGCATGTGTGTGTTCTTGTACCTTGCATCTTGCTCTTGGGTTTGCCGCAGGGTTTGGTGGCGCTAACAGAGTTTGGACAGTTAGCATCCATCAGCGCTCGTTTTAGCACACCGGTGCGCGTCTTCATTCCCGAGGTCGAATCACACTCCCCCCACGCCTGGAAATCATACTTACACTCTCCTGCCCAACACAACAAACAAAACTTCATTTGGGTGAGTTCACGTGCAACATGTCAGAAACTGCGCTAACACTTTACAAGAAGGTTCATTATTAACTACATTAGTTAGCATGAGGCACAGCATTTTTTCAAGGATAGCCCCTTGAGATGAACCATTTCATTTTCGAGGGGGTCCCTTCTTTAAAACAAACAAGATCATAATAGAAATTCATAAATAAAGTAAATACAACACAGGACTATTACGAACATTTAGATACATTGACATTTATTGCTAACATTAGTTAATGCACTGTGAACTAAAAATGAACAGCTGTATTTTAATTAACTAACATTAGAGGGATACTTCAGGACTTAGCATTGAGCTTTGTATGAGTAGAAAGCCTGTAGTGTTTTCAAATTAGCGTGCTCTCCTCCCTCATATCCCCCAGAGACGAGAGATTCGTGTATTTTTGGTCTAAAATCATCATTTTTGTGTCATGGCGGCGATCTCGAAACACATTTTCGGGCAGACTCATCACGGAGACTCACTAGAAGCCTAGACTTGTTGTTTAACGACTGCGCTCTGTCACCGGTAGGCGTGGCCTCCTAGGGCAGCAAAGCAAGTGCATTCTGGGAGTTGTAGTCTTTCATCCACATCAGCCAAAAACACATTTTCTGGCTTTTCTCAGTCTAGAAAGCTCCAAATTCAAAAATAATTTCACATTTCTTCTACATAAATGACCCATTCATCTTTCCAGAGGTGGAGTGTCGCTTTAACAAATACTGTAACGACTGTATTGCTCATTGCTAGTTAATACATGAACTAATGTTAACTAATTAACCGCATAGTAAAGTGTTACCGAATCTGCATTATAAAATACACTGTAAATGCAAAACCATGCATGCAATCAACATAAAAGCTACATTTATCGTCTCAAAACATGTTCCCGGTGTAATCATCAGTGCATTTTTGTCTGAAAGTTTTATTCCTCCACCATCTGTCACACAGAGGAACTTTTCACCACGCAATAACTCCCAAAAGCCTAAAACCACACTTTTTTCTTGTTTCACTTGGAAACACATCCGATTATGGAAGTAAAATGGGTTTGCAAACTTCACAAGGCAAAAGAAAACAACACAGACTATATTAAATACAGGTTCACTTCGAGGATTGTGCCGAGCGCGGTTCGTTTTGCGAGGTGAATTATTGGCTCGAGACCATCGAAACGCAATTTTATACGATAAACAATTTAGTGTGTTGTGTTGTAATGTAAAATCCGGATCCTGAAGTAAAGCTGTCGTTCCTCGTCTCATTTCATCCTTCAGTCCATGTGTCGAAGCGATATCTCTCGAGTGGACGAGGGTTAAACTGCTTCAATCGAGCACAAAATCGTCTCTAATGACATATTTAAAGGCAGAGAGAATGTAATTACAGGCGGCGGCCCCGAATCAAGACCCTCAGAAACGAAACAGAGCTCTTATAACTCGGGAGAATAAATTCTGCACGACACTAAACTACACTGACACGACTGCTGAACTACACAGGGGATTCATCACTCGACGTTTACTGTGATCATGTTTTATTAAGTCTGTGATTTCTGATGTTTCTTCAGAGCGAGACTGTCTGACAGAGAGATTTCCGAGAGAAACACCCCACTGTTTCAGGGTTTGCTGATAGTTTGTGTATACCTACAAATCCTGAGGGAAGGTAGCATATGCTCTCTCACACACACACACACACACACACACACACACTGATATATTCTGCCAGGTTGTGTCTAGGTCTCACTGTCTTTTCTGACGAGAGATTTCTGCGAGATTCTCCATCTTGTTACTCCAAAACACAGGCTTATTTACCCTGAGCCCTGTGTGTGTATGTGTGTGTGTGTTTCACCTGTGGGTGTGTGTGGCTTCTCACCTCCAAACTGCTTTTTCCAGTTGCAGGGGATCTTGCAGCGCTGTGTTTTGATGGTCTGCTTGCAGTCGGTGCCGGTGCGAGTGCCCTCTCTGGTGCCCAGGCCACAGTCGCCCTCGTTAGCCACACACACACTCCACTGCCACTCGCCACAGTCAGATTTACGCTCTTTCTTTCCTGTCAGAGACGGAGCGCACACAGGTTCAGCTGTACGGATGAGAGAGAAAGTGTGTGTGTGTGTGTGTACGAGTTTTCCTTTTTTCCTCCCCAGGTCTGGTGTATCATAAGTCAGCTGTTTTTTGTGACTTCTTTCATTTGATTGAAAATAATTATTATTTGCCTAATTTATGTTCTTATTTATTTATATATATATGTTAGTGCTGTCAAACGATTGAAAAATTTAATCGCGATTAATCGCATTAATGTCATAGTTAACTCACGATTAATCGCACATTTTTATCTATTCTAAATGTCTTTTGATTTCTTTTTGTTACATTATTTTTTTCTCATTTTAATGCTCGTCAACATGGAAAAGTGGATCGGCTTGTTTAGTGCAAATGTTTTTTTTATTATTATTATTGAAAATAACATTGGAATAGTGTTCAATTTCACACTAACATATATCAATAATCTCTCACACCATGTAACACTGTCTATCAATAAAAGAGTGAAAGAAATACTGACGAGGTCCTGATATTGACGAGGGGGTGGAGAATTCGCATCATCTGTGTGTGTGTGTGTGTGTGTGTGTGTGTGTGTGTGTGTGTGTGTGTGTGTGTGCTTGGCCATCATCAAGTGTTGTTTCAGACGTGCTGCGATGATGATCGCTCAGTTCACAACGACCACACACACAGATCACTTGATCTTGTCAATGGGACAATTTGGCAACTTTTTAAAAGTAAACTTTCTATTCATAATCTTAGGGCATCCATTTCAGCGTCTCGGGCTCGTCATGCACTCAAAACGTAACGTTACTATTTGGCCGGTTAGCAAGCCCAAACGAGTGTGTGCGGCACAAAACGTCCCCGCGCTGCGCTCTGAAACCCATTCATTTCAATGGCTTGCGCCGCGCGAGGACGTTTTGTTGCTTCTTCGACCAAAGCGCGAGCGGATCTAGACCATAAACAAAACAACAGGCACACTGCAAACACACGTTTGGGCTTGCGAGCCGGCTTTGAGTGAATGACGAGCGCGAGACGCCGAAATGGATTGAGGACACATGCCGCGAACTGTTGCAAAAGCATGTGAAAAAACTACAAAGTTTGCTAGGACAAAAAGACCGTTAATCGCGCAATAAAAAAATTAACGCCGTTAAAATGGGTTTGCGTTAATGCCGTTAATAACGCGTTAAACTGACAGCCCTAATATATATATATATATATATATATATATGTCTTTTTGGCCAATCATTGCACATAATAAATATGTTCACATGTTGTTATTCACTCTTCCAGTATTTTAATGGTGACATTTGTTTAAGGGTGACCTAATGTTCCTCTTGTAATTCCCCAGACTTGTAAAAACAGTGCAGGGTCGTAACATTAATGACACAGAGCAGCGTGTGGTGATATAAAGCAGTGTGTGGTGATGTTCTGTTACCTTGTTTCTCTGTTTTCCCACCATCTGCCAGTGTCGTCGTGACAGTCAGGAGGGCGAGCAAAGCCACACAGACCCACTGCTGCTGCATTCTGGGGGAAAGATAAATGCACATTAAAGTGTGCAGTGTGGGATTTTTAGTGACATCTAGTGGTGAGGTTGTGAATTGCAACCAACAGAAGTAACCGACAGGAAGTGATGTCGTGCGGTGGCCGACAGGAAGTGATGTCGTCGTCTGAGACAGCAGAGTAGCCAGTTAAGCAATGAGGTTTCTTTACAAAGATAAATAAATTAATTCTGTTTACTTAATTATCCAGTAAAACGATATATTATTGTTACTTGTTCATCGTGTCAGTGTTTTATTCGCTGACTTCAGCAGCTTCATACCATGAAGTTTGTCCATTTAGGGCCACCGTAGAAACATGTCGATATAAGCGGACCAGCGGTTCTAAAGTGAATAAAACATTACGGTTCATTATGTAAGGTCTTACACCACTGAAAACATGGTTATGTTTATGATATTGCATTTGTCAACAGATCCTCCTAAATATTACACACTGCACCTTTAAAGCTATGGCTCATAATACAAAAAAACACACAAATATCTCTACATGCAAGTGCTTCATTATCATACACCCAAAGACTATCCTCTTTCTTTCAGTCTCTCTCTCTCCGTCTCTCAGGAGGGAAAGTAAAGGTGGGTTGAATAATTAGAAAGCAATTTTATCCCGAACGCTCGACTGCACTTCAGTTACAGTAGCAGTGCAGCCCATCGGCGACATCACCTCCATTTCAATTACTTATGAGCCCCTCTCTCTCTCTCTCTCTCTCTCTCTCTCTCTCTCTCCTTTCTCTTCCTATTTCTGGTTGGCTGATTTCCTGCTGTGCCCATAAGCATTCCCCAGTTCTGCCTCGTGTACAAGTTGCTCAGTCACTTTCGCTCATCAGTTTCATAAACTTCTTAGACTATATTCTTGAAAGTTAGCCATCTAATTTTTCTGGTTCTAACATTTTTAAAGTCAGTCATCAAAAGGCAGTCTCATTTCAATCGAAATATAAGACTGACATCTGGTCTCACTGCTAGTTGGTCAAACTAGTTCTTAAAACACAGTCTTAAGGTGGATTAGTTTATGCAACTGACCCCAGCACCCGAAAAAATGCTGGGTTTTTGGGTCATATATGGACAAACCCAATCATTGAGTTTAAAAATGCAATTTAAAAAAATTAAACCAAGGCTTGGATTTGTTCATATTTACCCAATCATGGGTTAACATTTTTTAGAGTGAGGTGAATGCGTGTTGTGACTTTGTTTTTAAACATGAAAGTATTTATACATCATGCTATATGTAATGTGTTGTTATGCAGATTTCAATTAAAAATATTGTTTTACAGTAATGAGAAACTAATAAAACTTTACAATAATGTTCATTGGTTAAATACCTTAATTAACATGAACTAATGAACAACACTTCTTCAAAATGTATTTATCTTAGTTAATATTAATTAAAAATGTACTAATATATTATTAAAATCAAAGGTTGTATTTGTTAATGCACAGTGAACTAACATGAACAAACAGCTGTATTTTATTAACAAACACTAAAGTATTAACAAATGTTAACTAATGAACAGTATTGTAAAGTAATACAGTGAAAATCACCAGAATTATGGGAGTTAGATGCAAAAGTAAACCACCCTGATACATTATAATAGCAATTATAATTTAGAAAGAAAATGTGCTGATATCAGAATTGAAACAAAAACGAGGCCCGGTGATGTTTCTGCGAGATTCGTCCCATCGTTTCTGTCTCTATCAGTGTGTTAATCACAGTGGACGTGTCTCTCACACACACCTGAGCTGTTCCACATCAGTCAGACTGTGAAATCGTCAGCGCCACATAATAACCGTGATTTCAGTCAGATGGGCAAAAACCTGCCAATCAAACACTCATGAGTCCTGACATATAAATCGCTCCGGATCGTTCAGACGTAATCTGCCCTCCAAACCCTGATTAGCAACACTGCAAGTGATTTTTGTGATACTGGATAAGAGAGAGGATTAGCCGCGAGTGAAGTGACAGGGGCATCGAGATGTGAGGACTAGACAGCAGGGTTAGGTGTCTTGTGGAGTCCAGTTCAATACCCGAATGTCAACCGAACTGATTTAGCAAACGAGATTAGCATTTACAGTTAGGGAAGTAGAATTAAAACTCTATTCATTAAAAGAAACTGCTGTTTTAATGATGCATTTCATTTATTAGTATGATTTGCGTAAGGAATAATTGACGGCGGGCTGATGAATTATTAAAATAATGCGTGTGTGTGCACTATTTTTCTATAATTCGACTGATGTATTTCATGACATTTGTCAGGTTTGTGTCCTTAAAACACTCTTGTGTGTAGGGCATCTCATTCCAAACCTCTTTTGCTAATTCAAAGAACTTGTTAACAGAGGCATGAGCGACCAATAAACTTTCAGCAATTACATCCAGAAGGCGCCTCCTAGTGGTCTAACCCTAACACTACCCCAGACCTAAACCTGCCCATAACCGAAGCGTGTTATATTGGGTGCCATGAAAGGGTGCCATGTAGGGCTGGGTAATAAATATCGATTTCTCGATATTAATCGATTCTCATTTTTACGAACCGATATCGATTCTTAAATCTCAAGAATCGATTAGTCATCCTGTTTCATTTGAATGAATGGATCATTGTATCGCGGCTGCGCGCATCCAAATCACAATAATCTTTGTCCTTTGTTACTATTAATATGAAACAAAGTCTCAATTTTCAAATTACGTCCATTTTCTTTAGAAACTCAAAAACATAAATAGCGTTTTGTCGCTGTGGCGTGAGATCGCTCTGGAGAAGCAGCAGCGCTGATCTCACTTCCGGCTTAATAATACCAGTCACAGCGCCAAATAAACATGAATGAGCATCTGAAAGTGTGTTAAAGATAGAGTACAACTTATCCAAATCCGGATCATGTCACATTGATTCGCTCAATCAGCGTTTTTCAACCGTCAATTAAACAGCTTGTAATGTCATGTATCGTCATATTTACCTCAGAAAACCCACATAAACTCGTTAGTCAGCTAGAAAAAATAACTCCAGAGAGGAGCATTTTGCTAAATATATACACCATATTACATATGCATTATAATCTTAATGTTCTTCAATATTTAATGCATATTTGAATAAATCTGGCAAGTTTTTTATGACAGCCACCATTTAAATGTTTATATTTCATATAATCTTCTTATTATAAAAATAAATAAAAGTGTAATTTAATTTAAGTGACACGTTTCTGTGTGAGTGTGTGTGTGTATGAGCGGGAGAAAGAGAGTATGTGCTTAGTTTCCACACATAATAAAATGTAATTTTGTAGCAAAAACATGGAAATAATTTGTTGTTTTTATCCTATTGTTTACTATATTTATTTGCTTTTACATTGTGGGTTTTGGTTCTTTTGCTGTTGTAATCTATACAGACCTTTGATATAACGGAAAATCATCTGGCGAAGTGATATGAAAATGTAATGCGGTCAAGACCTGCTGGAACTACTTTAAACCTGAAAATAATTACAAGCCTTAAAATGTTCATCAACCAATCAGATTCAAGCATTCAACAGGCCCACCATAAACATGTCATCACAATAATCAATGCTTACGATTCCAAAATCTGATGTTCATAACGCTTAATCCCTCCAGTAAATTCAACTTTCAACTCATAAATTGACTCAACTCTTCAAGTCTGATTTTTCCAGATCCTGCTAGACAGACATCATGAATATCTTCACGTTTAACCTCTGCAGACCCTAAAGGAAGTCCACTAGCGTCACATGACAAATGACTCGTGCTTTCTCACAAACCCCTACAGAATGAAGACCTGAGGGGGGTCGGCTGTGTGTGTGTGTGTGTGCAGTGAGGTAAAGCTGTTATCCCACTCTAACACTCCATTAGCTCATTGATCAGTGTAAAAGCAAGAGGGAGAGTGACAACGTGATCCATCAGAGTGAAACGTGCACACACACACACACACACACAAAATGACACTGTACTCATTCGTTCGCAATTGACTGATTTCTGTAAGCCTGGTGCATTGGCTCTTAAAGGGCCGGTTCACACAGAAAACCAAACACTGTTATCATCAACTCACCTTTATGTCACACAAAACATGTCATTTCTGTGCAAGTTACTTTTCCATAGAATGAAATTGGATGTAACCAGTGGCCAAAAGCTCTACCAAAATGTAGCTCTGATCCTCACACAAAGCTATCATATGACTTATATATATATATAAATAGTGTAAATCTTCTGGACTGCTGTTCTGCGTGACGGTGTGTTTTCCGTGTGCTATGATTGACGGGTTTTATCCACACTGAGTCGGAAAAGCTTCATGCTTGATCCAGTGACTCTGACTCAGACCCAAACCCAGATTTGTATGGTTTTATCTGTTTGTTTCAGTGATCAGGGGGTGCAGCTTAGTGGAAAAACCACAAGACGTTCTAAAGAAAGCAGATGAAAGACGAATGAAATATGATCTTTAGACTGGGAAAACAGAGAGTGGTGTCAGTCAGTCGATACTGTTCATCTTATACATTCTCAGATACGATGTTCTGAAAACGTTAGCTCTACTTCTACATTGTTAAATATATATACATTTTATTTGGAAAGGCATTAATTACAAATTTAGTCGTTCAAGTACATAGGTAGGGATGGACGCAGAACGTTTAGACGAGTTTGTCCATATTGGTTTATGGTACTTTTTATTTCTGAAAAGCTTTAGTTGGATGTTCGTCTAATATTTTTTAAATGTTACTACTTGTTTTAGAACGTTCAGAGTACATTCAAATGTAACGTTCCATTAATGTTTGAAGGATGATGAAATGGAATGTTCCCTTAAGAAACAGTTCCAAAGAAACTGCCATTCCGTTTTCAAATGTTTAAAGATAAAATGGAATGTTCCCTTAGCGTTTGTATAACCAAGAATTTCTTTTTTTTAAAACATAAAGGAAATTCAGAGAACCTTCATAAATACTGTTGTCATAACTTAACGGAAACGTTAGCAAAACGTTCTTAAAATATTTTTC